TTGATACATAATGATAAGCATACCTTGGTGTTGCTGTTTAAACCAATCTAGTTCACGTACGATAGGTTTACATTTCTTCTCATTGACACAATTTCTTTCAACATTGTTTTGACAAGTTTCTAGGATTTGCCTTCCAACATCTTAAAGAAAATGTATCAATAATTATCTATATAAAAATGATAATAATAATAAATTGATTATAATTAATAAGAATAGTAATAACGTACATGAAAGAAACAACATTAGTGAGAAGGTAGCAAATCATGCCATGCTAATGTAATCCGCAGGTGGGCAAAGTGCGGTGCAACAGTGCGTTTTTTAGGCTGTGAAAATGAATTGCAAACCCTATGGGTGCAGCTCTCCAACCATCTTTGGCTTTAATCTGTAAAACATTAATAGCAAAAATTGAGCATAAAGTGGCCATAAAACAGTGGATGAAGGTTTTTGGAAGTGCACTGAAACACCAAACGAGTGGGTGTGGCCCTCGGAGTTGAATAAAAAATTCACTTTGGCACTCCGAGCCATTTTAATGCCATCCCTGCTATAATGGTACTGACAGCAATTTTATGATACAACATTTATTAGACACAGACAATATTGATTGCATATTAAGAAATTCCTTACTTGTATAACTGTATATAATACATAAAGACTATGAACATTTTGTTAATGATGATGATGACAAATAAAATAATAACAGAACTTTCCAAATTTAGAAAAAAAATGGTTACATTTGTGATGTGTAGTATTAATCAAGATGCTTGGCAATAAGGTGTGAGTGGGAGGAGATAAGAGGGCATTTTCCCACCGTATGGCAAGGGCCCCCACCCCCAGTGCCATTATTGGTATCTATCCATCTATTTCCAAAATCTTACATTACAAACGAATTCAAGTATACATTCACATAATACAAGAACAATGCAAATATATCATGAACTTGCAAAGAAGTGTATTCAACACAGCTTATCGCTCATTAATCATACTGAAAATATTATAACTGAAAAAGTTCATACTCATTCTTAAAAAGGTTTTTCCACATATATAAAAAAAAAAATTAATTTCAATTTATACTGAAACTTGTTCCATTTAAAACTTATTTTTTTCTTATTTATTTCAACATCATCCAAAAGTGACCAGTGTCGCCCATAACAGGATTGATACATGAAAATTGATACATAAAAATTTTATATACGTAATATAACATTAAATTCAAATATAGGTCTAAAAATAATTAAAAATATTAGAAATTCACTTGGTAATAGGAGTAAAAATAGTAGTAATTTTTTGACGGAAGCAGTTAAGACTATCAAAACATATATCTAAGGAAGGATTGAAACAGATAGAACTATATAACTTAGGAAGACGACAAATAAAACCATTTTTTGTAAGGTTAACTCTACCCGGTGGAACCCAAAATAATCCAGGGGATCTTAATCTATGCAAAGGAACTAGTATTTGAAAAAAAGAAGTGAAATCACAGTCAAAACTGGCATTTATGCATTTGTAAAGAAAAATAACATCAAAAATATTCCTTCTCTCTTCAAGTAAAGCCAACTTAGGACTTTTACGAAAATAGAACCTACAGAATTTATTTTGAATACGTTGCAACCTAACAGACTGTGCAGTTGAAATTGAATTAAAAATAATAGAACAAAACTCAAGATTACATCTAACTAAAGATTTATACAAAGTAATTAAAGCATTACCATCATCGATATGTCTGCAATGTCTCCATATGAATCCAAGGAGTCTGTTACTCTTAGCTACAACATAATCTACATGTTTACAAAAATTTAAAGAAGAATCAACAAATATTCCTAAATCTTTTTCAACGGCAACTTTTTCAAGAACAATATTATTAATTTTAAAATCAAATTGGATAGGATTTTTCTTTAAAGTAACAGACATAGTTCTACATTTAGAGACATTAACAGACATACCCCAGCTGCAACACCAGCGAACTAGACCATCCAGATCTGGCTGAAGGAGAACCTATCATTAACAGCAGAAATGACCCTAAAAAGTTTAATATCATCAGCAAATAATAAAAAATTAGAATAATTTGGAACAAAAGAAAAATCATTGATAAACAAAGTGAAAAAAGTGGTCCCAAAATAGACCCCTGGGGGACCCCTGACAATACAGTTAGCCATTCAGATGAACAACCATCAATTGTAACTTTCTGTTGTCTAGCATATAAATAATCAGAGAAAAAAGCTAAAATATTATCAGAAAAACCAAACTTACTAAGTTTGTAAAACTGTTAAG